TCTGAAAGCAGCAATGCAGAAGTAAGGGTGGCATGGTATGGTATTGCCATCCTTACTTCTGTGCTGCTGCTGGCAGGGCGCTGCCTTCAGAGCTGGGCGCTCGGCCAACAGCCGCCGCTCTCCAGCCACCCAGCTCTGAAGGCAGCAATGCAGAAGTAAGGGTGGCAATACTGCGACCCCCCCCCCCCAAAGAACTTTGTGACACCCCCCCTCCCCATCAACTCTCTTTTGGGACAGGACCCCCAATTTGAGAAATGCTGGTCTCCCCCCATGAAATCGGTATAGTATGGGGTAAAAGCACACACAAGACCAGATTTCACAGTCCGTGATGCATTTTTCCTGGCTATGAATTTGGTAGGGCCCTAATCATGGCCCAATCAGCAGCCTCAATATGAGGCTTTAATTCCTAGACAAACTGCTGGTGGATACCCTCAGACTAAACACCATGGGTTCTTCAGTTAACTGTCCTTACTTCTTTATTCATTTAGGGTCCTTGGCCCCAGTTCTGAGTACTTCCAGTTTTGCTTGGAGTGCTGGAACAAAGAGGGGCAAGGGAAAGATGACTTTATGCCTCCTTGCACTCCCTGTATTCTGGGGCCACTTGGACCCTGCCCAACCGCTGATGTCAGAGCAGCTCTAGGGCTGCTCAAACGTACGTTCTGTTTCCCATAGCCCCCTAGGTCAGAGCACAGTGCTCTCTGGCCATGCTTACAACCCCGGGAGCTAGGAACAGTGTAAGGTTACCTTGGTGGCTCTGTGTTGGTGCAAGACCTTTCTTATGCAATGGGTGTTTCCTGGGGCGGTTTTCTGCCCCCCTTTAAGCACCACAGCTGAATAGAAAATCAGTTCCTCTGTGCTTGAAGAGTCTGCAATTGGGCTCTGTTGGGCATATTTGTAGGGCCAAATTTAACTATGTAAATGCTAACTCGCAAAGAAATAATAATTGAAACCATTGTTTAAAATCAGAACCAAAGAAATTGTCACTGTTTTGAAATTCTAATTGTTTTACATGCAAGATGGAGACTGTTTGGTTCTTGGCACTGGTATTTTGACAAGAGAAACTTTCATTTCACGGTCCCTGATTCGGATTAATCCTAGATTCATTGTGAAATAAAAAGCAAGATGCATTGCCTAGTGGTTAAAGCACAGAACTTGGAGTCAGGAGAGACGTAGTTTCTGTTCAGGCTCTGACATTGACTTGCTGTGCAACCTTGATCAGATCACTTATTCTCTTCTTCATTCTTCCCCATCTGTAAAATGAGGTTAATATCCTGATGTGGGGGGAGCTTAATCCATTCAACGGTTGTGATGCATTTTTCAGATCCTTGGATGGAAGGTGCCATAGTAGTGCTGATTACTGTTGTTATTAATAGACCTGTTACCTCATGGCCATTTGCTTTATGTGAAATTGGCCTTTGTGGGCCTCAATCCCATTCTCTCTCTATAAAATGCTATGGCTTGGCTTGACTGGGTTGCATATGCCAATTAAATGAAGAAAAAGTTCCCTCACAGCTGGTACAGATTTTCACCCATGGGACATGGAGTGAGCTCCCCTATCAGCTCCAGTTCAGTATTGGCACCCATTGGTGGAAGCAATTCGAGGGAAGCTTGCACTGTTGCACTACCTGCACCATCCCTGTTCTGTGGTAACTAACAGGGCTTTAGTGTCCTGGGACTGCCAATCTGGTACCTTTCACCCACCATTAATTAACATACAATGCAAAAATCTTTCTAAAATTAAATAAGTTTAACCGAGTCCTGAAGTATTCCCTTTCTGTGACAATCCAATAACTGCAGCCCTTTTCCTTTCTCTGCCTTTGATATCCTCAGTTTGAGCTGGTGTCCCTCTGGCGTACAGTACATTACCATGGGTGCTGACTTTAATTGTAGAAGGTATGGTATAAATAAATGTGCAGCAGCAGAGGGGCATTGCAAACACAGTGTTGTCAGCTCTTTGTGTGGTGGTCTGTTTCTCTGTTGCTCTGGCTGGAATGTGCTTGTGTCTGTTTGCTTTGTCTGTTCCTCCCCCCAGTCACATTTGGTGTTGGGTCCTCCAGAGACTGAAGTACAGGTGAAGGTGTTGGTTAGTCTCTGCTAGTCTTGAGTGTCAGAGAAGCTGCATTATTCACCTGGAGCTGCTTTTTTTCTGTGATGATTTTTAGGCACATCTTTCCATACAATCAGAGCAATGAAAGTGACAGCAAAAGAATCTAGGCCAGAGTTAATGAGATATAGCAGGGGTCGGCAACGTTCGGCACGCGGCTCGCCAGGGTAAGCACCCTGGCGGGCCAGGCCAGTTTTATTTACCTGCTGACGCAGCAGGTTTGGCCGATCGCGGCGCCCCCCCCATTCATACAGACTGCTTCTAGTACAATGAGAGTTCTTTTTGCTCTCTCTTGAGCAGAGAAGCTAGTCATTTAAACCTCTCTAGAAAAAAAATCTGATAACCACAGATTTGGTTTTCCCAGGCACTTAAAACTTGCGTGTCCTGTAGAAAGTCCAGAGTCAGAATTAATTATCACAGGTAAGATCCTCAACAGAGGTAGATTGGCAGAGCTGAAGATCTGGACCCAGATTTATTTTTGCCTCAACAGTTAAAGGATAGAATTTCCAACTGTATTTTCTGGAGGCTAGATAACTCTGAAGTTTGGAATACAGATCATTTACTTTAGAACACTGATTTAAATGTGATCCAAATACAGTAGGTAAAAACCACAGAGCATTATCAGCTGATGACTATTTGATGGCATGTCTGAAGAGAGTTGCTGTTCTGAGCCCAGTTATTAGAGGATAGATGTCAAGATCACAGCAAACTACCAGCGTGATTTTGGGCTGCAAGAATAAAAGCCTGTCCTCCCTAGATAATAGGAGTGGGACTGATTTCCCCTTGCAGATGTTTGGGAGTAAATTTTACAATGCATGCTATAGCTAAATAAAATGCAATTAAAGGCTTTTGTGAATTGATAAAATTTCAAATTCTGTGATTTGTCTGCCTCTCGTTTACTAACTTGAAAAAATCTTTGGAACACGGATGTCTGTCTCTTCTGATTTAAGATTTACTTCAGCTTTTGCTTTCGAGATGATACATGTTTGTCAACCATCAGCTCCTCCAGTGATATGTAGAATACTAGTATCCATTTGGTGTCTACGTGGATTTAAAGCTCCACTGTACATTACAAAGTATTTTATTTTTCCTTTTAACACGTTTTGAATGTTAACTCAATAGTGAGTTAGATTTCATGATTAACCTTGAGTCCAAGTGTGTTGTACATATTAAATGTTTTCTGTAAAACACTTGCCCCTTATCCAACCACAGCAAATTGTCATATAATATACGATGCATAGAGAGGACAATCAAAAGAACATACAAGTGTCACTGTAATTGACATTTTGTCTTCAGGTACTCACAGGCCATTAAATAGCAATTGATTCAACTCCAAAGTTTGAAAAAAAGTAGTATTTGAAATGCTAAGGTTATATAGCAGGATCCTATCCGAAAGATGTCAGGAGGTGCACTGGGACTAATTTGTTCATCTTTCACCTTTAGAAAGAGGGGTTGAAATCCTCATTCATGTCAAAAATGAAAATGTGTGTATTGGTGTTATCTTTAGTTCCTACTGTACATTGGACCATAACAAAAGCCATCTTTCTCAAGGAAGGCCCTGGATCAGAATAGCAGCGTTTGCCGCACATGAGAATTGAGCTTCAGTCATAGAGCTATGTTGGGGATCTAAGACTGGCATAGTTGGGGGCACTGCAGGTCAGGAATGAGGTGACTACAGATCTGTAGGGTGACCCAGGCCTGGAATTGCAAGGGATGCTGCAGGTCAGCATTGAGGTGCTGGATACAGTGCTTTTGCTAGAACGGTGAGGCTGGGACGATAATGTAATGTGTGGTAGCAGGGAAGGGAGGTTGGTGTTGCCAGTGAAAATTGAGCTACGCTAGCGTGGCTCTTCGTAGGGAAAACTTGCATATCAGCAGCCGTCACTGTGGCTGAGTCTGGCCAACTCTTTCATAAGCACCAGTGTTGCAGACAAATGCTTTTTGTTTTGTTTTTAGTGATCGTGCCTGGCTCAGTTGGATAACCTAGCTGCAGAGGCAAATGCTGAAATGTGATTCATTGGCCGATGGAGACAGTACTTCTTTAATACTTAGATTTTGGCACTAATGCCCTGCTTTCTGCCAAAGCTTATACAGTGGCAAATGCTAAGCAGCATCAAGGAACATCTCTGCGAAGAAGAGTTGTACACCTTCAATATATTGCTGTCTATAAACCAATGGCTTCATAGCTGTGGGAGGGGCAAATAGCATCAGGATATACCAGCTATGTCTAACTTAAATTGAGCTGCATCCAGTATATCATTTGAAGCTGAGAGAATAGAATGAGTTGGAAATAAGCACACCTAAGAAAGCTCCCGGTTTTTCTTTTGCACAGTTCAGGAGAGCGAGAAGGAGTCCAATAACACAGAAATGTATTGGTCCATTATTCTCACACAACCATTTGCCTGAGTGTACCAAGATATTGCTGTCTGCAGTGAACACGACAAGCTGCTACCTGCAGTAGGTCACGTATATTACTCAAGGAAGTAACACAAACTGAGGGAATAATATACATTTCACTCCACGGTGAATGTCGAGGTTGCATCCTTTTTGAATTAGAACGCGTCTCATGCACACAGTTTAGACGCCACATTGTATGTTAAAGCATTAAGAATTTTCAGTGTCTAACCTCTCTGATTTTTCTTCAGTTACAGCCTAGAAGGCCTTGCAGGAGACTCCGATGATAACAAGAAGCCCTCCTCAAATTTAGAGACTTCCTCTTTGAGTTCCAAAGACCTCAGGCGAAGTCCACTTGCTAGTGACGAACGTGGCTCCTTGGTCTCACTCACTGAAGAGGAAGTAGAATCTGAGCAGGGGGAAATCAGAGGCTTTGACCGTCAGGTAAAGCTGTATTTTTGTTATTGTTGGGTTTTCACAAAACTCTAAATCAAAGGCTCCAAAACTTTGCCCAAGTGAGGGTCCTCTTTGCATGCATAATACAGAGATATTCTCATCTTTAATATAGATATGTGCCTGGCAAAGGCTAAAAGATGCATCACTCCCACTTGATCAAAGCGACCTTGCTACTCAGCCATAAAGGCAGCATGGTTAGACCGTAGGACAGGGAACAAGTAACTCCTGAGTTTTCTGCTACGGACTGGATGGTCTTGGAAAAGTCACTTTGCTTCGTATAATGGAGTTAATAACACTTCTCCTATAGAGATGTTATGAGGCTTAAAAAAATGAATGTTTGTGTGGCACTCTGAAGATGTGAAGCATATATAAGTACTAAGTATTATTTTATCTGTTACGTTTTTTCGGTTTATACCCATAAGAAAATGAAGACCTTTCTCTTTCATAATAACCTGTATTCTGATTTTTTTAATGGTCTCATCCTACTGTTACAAGCAGCAACTAAATTCAATATAACAAATGGAGAATTATGCAAATTTAGGTTCACCTTCTTGGAGATTTAATCAGGAGAGATGGGCCTGTGTTTTGTGGACATGTATCTTCAATCTGTTTTATTAAAAAGGCAAATATATTAAATGCATTGAATATCTGAAAGCCACACTTCCACTATAATACAGTAACTCCTCACTTAACGTTGTAGTTATGTTCCTGAAAAATGCAACTTTAAGTGAAACAATGTTAAACAAATCCAATTTTCCCATAAGATTTAATGTAAATACAGGGGGTTAGGTTCTAAGGAAGTTTTTTTAGGGCAGACAAAAGGCATTATATACTGTACTGTACTGTGGTTGGGAAGTGCCCCTGGCTTATCCCACACAGGCACAGCCTGCTGAAGGCAAGGATGCTAGGAAGCACCTTCGCAGCAGCAGCAGCTTCCCTGGAGAAGAACAGGCACCAATTTTGCCCGGGGGATGCTCCAGGCCCGCTTCTTCCCATCCCCGCTCCACTCCAGGCCCATCTCTTCCCACCCCCGCCGCATCCCCGCTCCTTCCCCCGCCCAGAAAGTCCTAAGCTGTTTGGCAGTGCTTAAGGCTTTCTGGGAGGGAGGAGGAAGAATGGAGACACCATGCTTCCCCACTCCTGCCCTCCCTCCCAGAAAGTGCTGGGAGGGAGGGGGAGAAGAGGAACTTATGCAATGCTCCCTTGTAAAGTCGCTGCTCTTCCAGCCAAACAACATTACAAGGGAGCATTGCACAACTTCAAATGAGCATGTTCCCTAATTGAGCAGTGACATAACTTTGAAACAATGTTAAGCCGGAGAACGTTAAGTGAGGAGTTACTGTACTTCTCTGGGCAGACACAAAAGAACTGGGGGTTATTCAGCTGTCCCTGTTTAACTGCTGGAGATTGTCTTTGTTGACTGATCCTGGCACACTGATTTTCTTTGACATCTTCATGAGTCTCACATAGAGGAAATTGGTGTTGCTTAGTGCATCTGTCACTTGAGCATCAAACTGTTGTTGAAAGTGGCATTTGAGTCACAGCCTAAGTAAAGGTGAAGGGAGTAACCAGGGCTCATGAGAACTGATCTGTGAGAGCTGGCTTTAGGATGTGGGATTGTATCTCTTAGCCATTGCTTTGATGAATGGTGTTCATTGAAAGTCCATTGTTACAGCTACATACCCTCAGTGTCAGACTCTTGCCATTTTGTACTGACAGCTGATGTGTAACCTTGATTTATGCATTCCCAATTAATAAGCTAAGGATAAGCAATAGAACCAAACTGAACTCTTTAAGGTTCAAGCTTCTGGGGCAGTAACAGATAATTTAATGTAATGGAGGACTGTGAATGACACAGTGAGGGACAGCATTAAAGACTTTATTTAAAATCAAATAATTAGTTAAAGCAGACAGGCATTACACTGCATTTATACCCACATTCCAGGATAAAATGGTGCCTCCAGGCTGATCAGTCCCAGGATGAGAAGAATGAGTATATAATCCTTTCTCTCTCTGGTACCCCAAATTAGCATACTACTCTTTATATAATCAATTATAACAACACCCCTTAATTAATTAGCATTAGGCCTACCTTTTACCGTATTTACCATAATTTAAATATTTTCTACTTTCTCATTGGTTTTTGAATATTACACATAATCTTACTTAATGTCTACGTAAATATCATTCCAATAACTATCAATACAGATAGCATTCTTCTAAAACATTCACATTTTGTCTAAGACACTTGTTAAAAGTAGTTAAAACCAAAATCTGTTTACAACATGGCCTAAGATTGTGTCCGAATTTATCTCTAACTTGCCTCTAAATTATCTCACTTTACTCATATTTTACTAGGCCTTATTGTTTTCATGCCCAAATTTAAGGCCCCAAAGCATATTTTCTACTAACATTTCAGCACATTTCTATTTAACATAAGCAAATGTCATCTCTATAGACTCCAGCTGGCAGGGTTGAAATCACAGCAGTATTTTCATTGGCCATCAGACAACAAA